GCCATTTTGAACTTTTGAAGCTGAACTTCTATGATAGGTGGTACAAGTTTGCTTTGGTATTGAAGGTGTACGTAGAGGCTTGATGAACTCATGACCATGGCGTGAGTGGTGACGTTTAGCGGGTGATCCACAGGTATATTTGACCGTTCCAGCACCGAGGCTTTGTCGAGTTCGAGACAGTGTCATGGTGTCAGTTTTTGAATGGAGAAGTGAAGAAGGTGAGGTTTTTCATGAGGGTTTACTGGAGTCGTCGCTAATCTTCCTCTTCTGGAAGGTGGATTCATTGGCGAAAACTACAATGGTGGTAGCAGGTGACTGAGGTAGAAGGAGCAATGGAGTGGTGTTGTAACGGTTGTTGTAAACAGTAGGCTGGGAGAGGTGGGAGACAGTGGTTGAGGTAGCATGATCAAAGTTGAGAGTAAGACACATGTGCAACATCTGGGTATCTTTATTGTAGACGTTTCGCCATCCAGTGGCTTTATCAATACAAATTCTAGGACATAACTTGAAGACAGTAGAACTATGTACAGAAGATGAGGTAATCAGTCCCTCAACCTAGGAGTAGGTGCGAACAGCACCATAGTCGTGGAGATTCTGAAGCAGAAGAAAGAATCCTGGCGTTTATATAGTAACGTCAGGTGAAGCAGACGAGGGCAAATTCACTTGTAGGCGGGATTCCCCAGTGGAAGTAGGTCCTTCCCAAAGAGATGGGTTAGTTGTAGTAGTAGATGTCGTAGTCGTGAAGGTTATGTACATGTCCTCAAAATTAAGATTCCATGATGTTGCAGTGTCTGACAAGTTGTGTACGAATGGTATATAATACCGACAAGATGAGAGTAAGACACATGTGCAACATCTGGGTATCTTTATTGTAGACGTTTCGCCATCCAGTGGCTTTATCAATACAAATTCTAGGACATAACTTGAAGACAGTAGAACTATGTACAGAAGATGAGGTAATCAGTCCCTCAACCTAGGAGTAGGTGCGAACAGCACCATAGTCGTGGAGATTCTGAAGCAGAAGAAAGAATCCTGGCGCTTATATAGTAACGTCAGGTGAAGCAGACGAGGGCAAATTCACTTGTAGGCGGGATTCCCCAGTGGAAGTAGGTCCTTCCCAAAGAGATGGGTTAGTTGTAGTAGTAGATGTCGTAGTCGTGAAGGTTATGTACATGTCCTCGCCTACAAGTGAATTTGCCCTCGTCTGCTTCACCTGACGTTACTATATAAGCGCCAGGATTCTTTCTTCTGCTTCAGAATCTCCACGACTATGGTGCTGTTCGCACCTACTCCTAGGTTGAGGGACTGATTACCTCATCTTCTGTACATAGTTCTACTGTCTTCAAGTTATGTCCTAGAATTTGTATTGATAAAGCCACTGGATGGCGAAACGTCTACAATAAAGATACCCAGATGTTGCACATGTGTCTTACTCTCATCTTGTCGGTATTATATACCATTCGTACACAACTTGTCAGACACTGCAACATCATGGAATCTTAATTTTGAGGACATGTACATAACCTTCACGACTACGACATCTACTACTACAACTAACCCATCTCTTTGGGAAGGACCTACTTCCACTGGGGAATCCCGCCTACAAGTGAATTTGCCCTCGTCTGCTTCACCTGACGTTACTATATAAGCGCCAGGATTCTTTCTTCTGCTTCAGAATATTCACGACTATGGTGCTGTTCGCACCTACTCCTAGGTTGAGGGACTGATTACCTCATCTTCTGTACATAGTTCTACTGTCTTCAAGTTATGTCCTAGAATTTGTATTGATAAAGCCACTGGATGGCGAAACGTCTACAATAAAGATACCCAGATGTTGCACATGTGTCTTACTCTCATCTTGTCGGTATTATATACCATTCGTACACAACTTGTCAGACACTGCAACATCATGGAATCTTAATTTTGAGGACATGTACATAACCTTCACGACTACGACATCTACTACTACAACTAACCCATCTCTTTGGAAGGACCTACTTCCACTGGGGAATCCCGCTACAAGTGAATTTGCCCTCGTCTGCTTCACCTGACGTTACTATATAAGCGCCAGGATTCTTTCTTCTGCTTCAGAATCTCCACGACTATGGTGCTGTTCGCACCTACTCCTAGGTTGAGGGACTGATTACCTCATCTTCTGTACATAGTTCTACTGTCTTCAAGTTATGTCCTAGAATTTGTATTGATAAAGCCACTGGATGGCGAAACGTCTACAATAAAGATACCCAGATGTTGCACATGTGTCTTACTCTCATCTTGTCGGTATTATATACCATTCGTACACATGATCAACGTTGTCAACGGTGGAAGTGGTTATAGAAGTTACTGAAGATTGAGACACTTATGCAGCATATGGGAATCTTTATTCAGGAAACGTTTCGCCACACAGTGGCTTGATCAGTCCAATACAAAGAGGAAGGCGTAAGGAGAGGAGATGAGGTAATCAGTCCCTCAGCCTGGAGTCGATGTGTTCAGTCCATCATTCTACAAGATTGATGGACTGAACACATCGACTCCAGGCTGAGGGACTGATTACCTCATACTCCTCTCCTTACGCCTTCCTCTTTGTATTGGACTGATGAAGCCACTGTGTGGCGAAACGTTTCCTGAATAAAGATTCCCATATGCTGCATAAGTGTCTCAATCTTCAACTTGTCGGTTTTTCAAACCATTCATCACACACATAGAAGTTACTGGAGCAGTTGCTTGGGCAGAAGACAGGTCTGTAGGTGCAGTAAAGTTCAGGGCGTTGGGAAGGATCTTGAGGATGTCTGCTGAAGGTGTGGAGTCCGGAAAATTGAAGGCAGGCATGTTGTTCAGACGGAATAGTTCGTTGATAGTGGTGTTGAAAGTGCCGGGGATTGCTGCGTTTGCAAGGTGTGCATATACCATGCAGTACGGCACCTTGGAGGAAGCACCGTCGGGGAGTGGAGAGAGGGAGTTGCTGGGCGATGGTGCTTGTAGATTAGCGTGTAAAGTCTTGATGGTGTCGGTTTGTGGTTTGGTTATTGTAGCATATGTCGGTAAATTGGAGGTGTTCTTAGGAACTTTCGTTTTCTTCAATATTTCTTTCCTGGGTGGGCACTTAGCTGCAAGAGTATGATGATTACCCTTGCAGTTAAGACATGATGGTGCTGTAGTAATGGTGCAGGATCTGAAATCGTGTCCATCATTCCCACATTTTGAACAAAACTTCTTATCCTTGACGGGGCAGTCCTTGGTGGTGTGTTTATAGGAGTGGCAGGTCCAGCAGTGGGAGATGTATGTGAAACATTCTTGTTCTATATGACTAGGGTGAATGTGGTAATATGAGATGGCCAGACCGTCAGAGAGAGCTTGGGCAGCCATTGAGATGTCTGTGAATGTAATCTTTAGCATAGATGAGGCGTTGGGAATCTTGGAGATGCTGTCTACCGAGGCCCAGGTGTTTTGTTCCTCAATAGATGTCTTCAGTGCTTCAGTAGAGAGGGAGGTGACCATATTGTCCAGTCTTTTCACAAAGACCAAACGTTTCGACTTCAAGAATGGAGACGGGGATAGAGTGAATTGAACATTAAAATGGTATAAAATACCGACAGATTGTTAGGTAAGACACATATGCAACAGTTAGGTATCTTTATTTCGAAACGTTTCGCCTACACAGTAGGCTTCTTCAGTCGAGTACAGAAAAGTTGATAGAAGCAGAAGATACTTGAAGACGATGTAATCAGTCCATCACCCTTAAAGTTTTGAGGTGGTCAGTCCCTCAGTCTGGAGAAAGAGCATTGTTCCGTTGTCTGAAACAATATTGTTTCAGATACCTAACTGTTGCATATGTGTCTTACCTAACATAGAGTGAATTGTTGTGTTTGTAGGGTCCTTACGACGACGTTTCGGTCCGACTTGGACCATTGACTTTGTCAATGGTCCAAGTCGGACCGAAACGTCGTCGTAAGCTTCTCTCTTTTATGTGCGAGTTATTTGTGTATCGTTCCAGTCACGGTATTGTGCCTTTTTGTTATTTATTTGTAGGGTCCTGACTGAAGAGTCGTCCATTAGTTTTGATGCTTCCGTGTCGTCTGTGCAGACGACAATGAAAGAGTCCTTCAGAGAGTGGATTGCCGTAAATTTGACCTGCAGGCAGGTCCTAACGACGGTAGCTAAAGCTAACTTCGAGGAGTCATTTATTGCACCATTCACAGGCTTGATTTTAACGCGATGCGACAGCAGTATGAAAAGGATGTGACGTTTGTAGAATATAAATTCCCCACCCCGGCGGGGTTGAAGGGAGGCTTCTTGAGTGTAGAGCAACTGTGTGATCCGACAGCACGACGGACCAGGAGTGGGGAGCGAAGGCAAAGCAAAAGCAAAGCAAACAAGTTTAGGTAAGATCCCAGTGGGATGAGCGGGGAAGACGGGACAGATGAAGAATAGCTCTGGAGAGGAGTGTTCTTAGTAAGAGAAATAGAGCCAGGGCTTAACCCAGCAGCTAAGGTGATCGTGGGACAGACTTGAGAACAGGAATAGCAGGGACTGTTGCATTGAACTTGTGGTAGTTGAAGTCTTGAATCTTGAGTAGCTGGCAGCAGGCTAGGTCACATCAGAGCGAAGGCAAGAAGACTGGCGGTTATGAGGTAAGACACATATGCAACAGTTAGGTAGGCGAAACGTTTCGAAATAAAGATACCTAACTGTTGCATATGTGTCTTACCTAACAACCTGTCGGTATTTTATACCATTTTAATGTTCAAACTGGCGGTTATATAGGTGTCAGTGGATAAGGACGTGTAGCAGACGAGGGCATAGTCACTTGTAGGCGGGATTCCTAGAATCTGTATTGATAAAGCCACTGGATGGCGAAACGTCTACAATAAAGATATCCAGATGTTGCACATGTGTCTTAACTTACATCCACCATATTGCCTATCAATTATAAGTTTGCGTTTTTTAATTGTAAATATTTTCATTGTGAATTAAGTATATATATATTTTTTTTACGACAGGAGAAAGTTTGAAGCTAGTTCTCACGACATTGCGAGAGAATACAGCAACTTGAGGCTGAGAGAGCGGGTAAATATTACAATACTAATTACCAGCATTCTTATAAATTTAGGCCTGTTTATTACATTGTCATCAGGTATAAGTAGCAATGTATAGGTACCTAATTCATATAGTCTCAAATGTGCCGTATCAATGATATATACAACACAAAAAAATATTGTATATTATAGTATCAGCTAATGTTTGTAATTGTGGCTTGTATCGCAGCAGGATGAAGGTGTCTTCACGGACGATGATCTGGACCAGAAGATGGAGAAGCAGGCAGAGGTAGAACGACTTAACTCAATGAAAAATGCTCTCGCTTCTTCCTCTCCTAAGCGTTTGCCAACAGAGACCATGAAAAACATCGTGTAAGTTATTGTTTGAACTTGCTAAGAACTGGCAAATTAATTTTCACCTCAGTAATACTGTAAAACAATTTTTTTTTAATTTTACAAGTTAATTTATGCATGAATTTCTTTACTTATTCCTGTGCGTAAATGATTTGTTTTTATCGATATCACTTCACATTCACTCCTGTATATAAGCGTCTTATGCAAGATCTCTCTTAATTTTTAATTAGGATGGTCCATACCACTTTATCTACTTTATGTCTTGCACTCCTCCAAATTTAACTTAGCACTTAATTACTCTAAACTTTCTGTCTCCTCTTTACCTCTTATACATTCTCCTTTAAGCGACATCCAATCCTCTCCTTACATTCACTTTATAATCCACTTATATTTTATATCTTATTATGACATTCATTTTGTTCTTTCTCACCTCCCTTGGGCCACCTTAACATGAAGTTTGAGCGGCTGTGCCCAACTTAAGAACCGAGTATTTCACCCATGTATCCTTTCATTTTGCTCCTGGGAATTAGAGGTGTTTGAGTCTTTGTCTTACTCTCTTTGGGAAAGAGACAAATGCAGTATGATGCGATTCTTTATTGATAACATTTCGCCCGCGCCACACAGTGAATTCCATCAAATCACAAACAGATCTGCCTAGAGAAAAAGAATGAAACTGTATATACGGTATGTAGTGAGGTGAGAAGTCAGGTTGAGTGTGTTGAAGTTATTACCTTAAGTAGCTTAAAAACAGGTTGGATAAGCAGTGTTGTATTTGAAAAGTCTACTTAACATGGGTTAATAGGCCTGCTGCAGTGTTCCTCCATACCATGAATTGTTCCTATCTAGGATACGGATCAGGAGGTTTCCTGGCAAGAAGGTAATTGTAGAAGCTGTTGTTCTGGCTGAAATTGTTTGATATGCTGATGAGTGATGACTCTAAGATCCTGTGTCTCTGGATGTCTTCCTCCTTGCGATGAGTCGTGCGTCCTTGTAACTAAGTGGTTGTGGGCCGTTCTTCAAGTCGTCAATTCTGGCATATTGGTATTCAGAAATGTGTGTAAGTCTCTGAATGTTTTGTCTACACATTTTGTCAATCGTTTCAAATGATTGTATATACCGCTGCAGTAGATTGAATATGATGGTGTCCCTTGCCGGTGATACTTTTGACTAGTGAAGGCAGGGGTGGCTACTTGGAGTTTGGTGTTGGAGAGAATGTTGAAGTGTTTGACAAAGGAATTGTTAGGGATGACTCTGTATCTCCTCTCGGTAGTGTGTCGCCTCTGTGAGTTAAAGATGTGTGTACGGACATTTGCAATTTCTGATGAAATGAGGAGAATGGTAAAATTTAGAAAACACTAGTTTGAAGAAAGAGCATTTTCTTCAAGGAACTCATTTCTGTAAATACGGAGGGTATGGCAGGAAGATAATAATGAAGCTACATTTATTCTCAGTACTATGGTGTGAATAGAAGTGGAGATCATGTTGGTTGTTGGGTTTGCAGTAGACTTTACAATGAAGCTTATGGTCAGCTTAGGTTTGCTGAATGCTGAAGTATTGGTATTGGTGGGTATCGGCTATTTTTATGGTATCGGTGAAAAAGTTACCGATACCAGCCGATATATTTAAATATTAATATTAAACATGCTCTCAAAAGTAGTAAATTTAACACTGTGCTTCACGATTGTAAGGGTTACTCATCATCCCTGTGATGAGTCGCAGAGATATTAGGAAAGTTTATCTTCTGTTTTTTTTATAGTAATCAGGAAGTGGATCGTTAGTTTAATATGTTTATTATGCACCCCATACCCATCCTGTGGGCGGTAGTCAAAAGATTACAAAGGTACATAATGGGTCCAGGGACTGGACCCCAAAGTTATGATAGATGAACTAGTTACAAAGGTAATGAACTCCTAGGTAGATCTGGTCACAATCATGGCAATTTACAAAGGTAATGAATCAGCCTCACTCCTATACATGGTTACAATCATGAATAAATTACAAAGTAATGAACCACTGATATGTCCACACCTGGTCACAATTGTAATGAGTTATAAATACAAATATTAAGTGGGTCATACACCCACACTAGCGCGCGCACACACACACATACACACACGAGGGCGCACGCACAGACATATGCACACGAGCGTACAAATATATGCATACACACACACACACACACACACGCACACACACACACACACACACACTTATAGTAACAGAAGTGGATCGTACATAAATACACTTGAAAATCCAGAGAGATTAGTACCAAACTGGGCACACAAAACTTAATACAAAAGGCTCTGGTGGCCTGTGGTTAACGCTCTCGCTTCACACGGGAGGGCTGGTTCGATTCCATCAGTAAATGGTACTGGTGTTAGTCGACTTGGATGGCGCATCCTGGGACACTGACCAAAGGAGGCCTGTCCACAGCCCGGCCGCGGGGCTTGCCCCGGAAATCACTCCAGTAAACTCCAGGAATCACTCCTACGAAAGCAAAAGACGGCAGGAAATGCTCCCAGTAAGTTTATTCAGGTATACATAGATACAGTTACACAGATTAGCATACATAGCAGCATATGTGTAGAGAACCTAGAATAACCCAAAAAAGTCAGACAGAGTGACTTATTTCCAGTGGCATACCAGGTATACCTGGAAATAAGGCACTCAGAGCCAGGAGAGTAAACCTAAAATAAATAAATAACAAAAAGGCACAATACCGTGACTGGAACGATACACAAATAACCCGCACATAAAAGAGAGAAGCTTACGACGACGTTTCGGTCCGACTTGGACCGAAAGAGGCGGGGCCAGGGGCTGAGACTACCCCTGCAACCACGTAAAGGTGAATTGACACACATGAACATAGTACACACCTTCACATATGACTCGGACTAAATAACTCGAGTTTGATATTGGTAAATTTTATAAAGAAATTGTAACCAGCATTTCTATCAACAACACGTAACAGACATATATTGATAAATTTATAAAGAAATTGTAACTAGCATTTCTGTCAATACGTAACTGTATCCTTTTCGAATTATTTATTATTAAAGATTCGCCGGTATTCTCCCGGCCCGGGCCTTTTCCTCATCCTCATATCCGACATAGACAAGGATGTCAGCCACAGCACCGTGTCTTCCTTTGCAGATGACACCCGAATCTGCATGACAGTGTCTTCCATTGCAGACACTGCAAGGCTCCTGGCGGACATCAACCGAATCTTTCAGTGGGCTGCAGAAAACAATATGAAGTTCAACGATGAGAAATTTCAATTACTCAGATATGGTAAACACGAGGAAATTAAATCTTCATCAGAGTACAAAACAAATTCTGGCCACAAAATAGAGCGAAGCACCAACGTCAAAGACCTGGGAGTGATCATGTCGGAGGATCTCACCTTCAAGGACCATAACGTTGTATCAATCGCATCTGCTAGAAAAATGACAGGATGGATAATGAGAACCTTCAAAACTAGGGAGGCCAAGCCGTGATGACACTCTTCAGGTCACTTGTTCTATCTAGGCTGGAATATTGCTGCACACTAACAGCACCTTTCAAGGCAGGTGAAATTGCTGACCTAGAAAATGTACAGAGAACCTTCACGGCGCACATAACGGAGATAAAACACCCAATTACTGGGAGCACTTGAGGTTCCTGAACCTGTATTCCCTGGAACGCAGGCGGGAGAGATACATGATTATATACACCTGGAAAATCCTAGAGGGACTAGTACCGAACTTGCACACGAAAATCACTCACTACGAAAGCAAAAGACTTGGCAGACGATGCAACATCCCCCCAATGAAAAGCAGGGGTGTCACTAGCACGTTAAGAGACCATACAATAAGTGTCAGGGGCCCGAGACTGTTCAACTGCCTCCCAGCATACATAAGGGGGATTACCAACAGACCCCTGGCAGTCTTCAAGCTGGCACTGGACAAGCACCTAAAGTCGGTTCCTGACCAGCCGGGCTGTGGCTCGTACGTTGGTTTGCGTGCAGCCAGCAGCAACAGCCTGGTTGATCAGGCTCTGATCCACCAGGAGGCCTGGTCACAGACCGGGCCGCGGGGGCGTTGACCCCCGGAACTCTCTCCAGGTAAACTCCAGGTAACACTGTATCAATCGCATCTGCTAGAAAAATGACAGGATGGATAATGAGAACCTTCAAAACTAGGGATGCCAAGTCCATGATGACACTCTTCAGGGCGCTTGTTCTATCTAGGCTGGAATATTGCTGCACACTAACAGCACTTTTCAAGGCAGGTGAAATTGCTGACCTAGAAAATGTACAGAGAACCTTCACGGCACGCATAACTGAGATAAAACGCCTCAATTACTGGGAACGATTGAGGTTCCTGAACCTGTACTCCCTGGAATGCAGGCGGGAGAGATACATGATTATATACACCTGGAAAATCCTAGAGGGATTAGTACCAAACTAGCACACGAAAATCACTCCCTACGAAAGCAAAAGACAATGCAACATCCCCCAATGAAAAGCAGGGGTGCCACTAGCACGTTAAGAGACAACGCAGTGTCAGGGGCCCGAAGACTATTCAACTGCTTCCCAGCATACATCAGGGGGATTACCGATAGACCCCTGGCTGTTTCAAGCAGGCACTGGACAAGCACCTAAAATCGGTATCTGACCAGCCGGGCTGTGGTTCGTACGTTGGATTGTGTGCGGCCAGCAGTAACATTCTGGTTGATCAGGCTCTGATCCGTCATGAGGCCTGGTCACAGACCGGGCCACGGGGGCATTGACCCCCGGAACTCTCTCCAGGTAATCTCCACGTAATTCCCAAGTCAGGTCGAGACCCCAGGCTATCTGTGAGCTACTGCCCGATCTCGGACGAGCAGCATCTGCAAGTTGTGTTGGAGAGGATGCTGAATATTCATCTGGTCTGGTACATGGAGATGAAAAACTACATCTCTTTGGTGCAGATTGGCTCCCATGTTTCTTTGGGTTCTCTCACCTTTCGGCAGTATATAAACCCCTCCTTTCATATCAAGATTGAGGGACTCAACACTGAACCCAGGCTGAGGGACTGTTTTCCTCAAACTCCTCATTTTCCACCGTTCTTCTGTGTATTGGATTGATAAAACCTCTGGCTGACGATACGTTTCCACAATAAAAATACCCAAATGTTGCACATATCTCTCATTCTTCATCTAATAATTACACCAGGACAAACAGGCATATTCATGAGCATTTCTTAGAGTCCCTAATGGGAGGTTCCTTTATGCTGGTGTGGGACTCTTCAAAAATCCAGTCCCTGGACCCATTACGTACCTCTGTAATCTGTAAATACCTTTGTAACTTGTCATAATTGTGACTAGACCTACCTGGAGTTCATTACCTTTGTAAATTGTGAGTTCATTACCTTTGTAAATTATGAGTTCATTACCTCTGTAACTTGCTCAGCTATCAAAACTTTGGGGTCCAGTCCCTGGACCAATTATGTACCTCTGTAATCTTTTGACTACCGCCCACAGGATGGGTATGGGGTGCATAATAAACATATTAAACTAAACTCTAAGGAATCGGACTCGTGCTGTGCTCCAGTTCCTTGATTCTAGTCTGAATGCCTTCCATTCCCCAAGCGCTGTATGACCTCTACAGGTTTAGCGCTCACCATGAATGTAATAATGTAATTTTCTTAAGGACACCAAGAATTTGCAGTCTGTAGTTTCTCAAAGAGTATAAATTACTATAAATCAATTAATTTATTATCAAAGCTTTCCTGATTGATTGTAGAAAGTCATGAAGATCGCTGGCCATTTACTACCGTATCAAATTAATCAGCATCAGTATATTAAAAACAGTTCGAAGTATATACAAACCGCCTTCCACAATTTATATCGATAATTCGTGTTAAGTCATAGGCGACAAGTCTTATTTTGGAAATATCAAAATTAAGCCATGTTAATGTTTAATTCTGCACCAAAACCAACCTTTCAGAAATTATCGCAGTAAAAAAATAGTTCCATTTGCCTATCCAAGAATTTACATAACTTTAGTCACCCTTTTGCTTCTAAGAGGAACGAAAGGGATTTTCAGGTTATCTGTCTCCAGTAAGCACCGACTAAATACGTATTAGTATCTCAGTTATTTTAACCCTAATCCTCAGCGCTTATATGACCCTTGTGTGTTTAGAGATTAGTTTTGATTATAATAACACTAATGCAGATACTTTGTTCCAGGAAAGAGTGTCAACTCATGGTTGACAGGCTGAAGAAAATTAATGAAGACTTACAGTTTTACGAAGCTTCTCTTCAAAAACGCCTTGAAATGCTACGAGATGAATTATCCCACATGCGTCCTGAACAGGTCATTAACAATGGAAAATAATTACAGTATTACAAGACTTAGCTAAAACTATTCTTACTTTGCGTTGTTCAATATCCTTCTCTTGCAACGTCAAGTATATAAAAAATGGAAATTTATTTCAGAATAATTCCAATACATTTCTTACCACATGTTCAACCTGGAGGATATATCTTACTTATAGTATGATATAATTTCCACATAGCTTGTTAATATTTTCAGCTAGCGGAATTAGATGTTGCAGTTATGTTTACTGAGAAGAAATAGTTTGGAAGTAACTGTAGTTACAGTAAACTGACGCTGTTTATGTTTAACATAAAGTTATGAATGCACTCATTCTCTAGCGAATAGCATCCGGGAGTGAATAGATCGTAGTGATGAATAATGAAAGCTAACAGATGAACAGAATAAGGGTGTTAGATTAGGTACTCAATAAATTATTATAGAATGCTAGTACATTATACTATTAATTCTGTTACGAAAATATATAAAAACTAACGAGATCAAATGTAACTGATTTTCACAAGAAAAAACGATATATGTGCATGCGATGTATTGAGGTCAGATTAATTAAGTATAGTACTGTAAAAGCATGTTAAGAACCAGTGAGCCAGAAGTACATAAAATCAAAATAACACACGCAAATAAAAATATAGGTATTATAGTTTACACCACAGTCGCTTCATATTGAAATATGATGGAAATGCGTTGTTTGTACGAGAGCCTTGATAAACTTGTGTTTAGTAGACTGCAGTATGACGAGAACCCTTTCTCAGGTATTGTAATGAGCCTCTGGACATATTTTTTCTAATTGCAAAATTGATTTCAAATCACGTTTTTTATGCATAAGCAAACAGCACCTTGGTTATTAATAATTCAGGATTAAATGAACATTTCATACTATATTATGTATACTATTGTATTATTATTTTTTAGCTATGCAAGCTGCATTTTTTTGTGTGTGCACGAATACAGAAATTTTGTTTATATATGGACGTGTCACATTTGATTATCAATAAATTACCTTGTTTTGACTACGTGTTCTGTTGCCTGTTTAAGTAAACAGAGAAGCAAGGAAGCTAGGTATCCCATTTGATAGCTGCAGAATTACCCTTATGGACTTAGCACTTCACTGTGAATATCCTAATAATAATTCATTTAATGTAGGTTACAGGATAAATCTTGCAAACTACATAGGATAACTATTTATATGTCAATATAAAGTTAGAGTATAAAGCATATAAGCAGTGTGCTGTATGATCCTGGTTAGTTTAGCGCTTAGTTTTGATTATAATAATAATAATATCAGCATTGTTATATATCAGACCTGACATACTTGAAGGCACTGAATATACATTCTATAGAAAGACGTAGAATGTGTACAAATGTGTGTACAAATGGGGGGGAGGAAGGAGCTTGCAGTTTTGCTAAGAGGCCCTGGTGCCACACCCGGTCGAAGGCACCAGCAATGTCCAATGCTACCGCACAGCTGACTTTGGATTCATCCAGTGACTGATGTCACTTAGTGGAGAGGTTTAACAACAAATCAGCAGCAGAGTAACCTTTCCTGAAGCCATATTGACGGTCACAAAGTAGTGAGTGGTAGTTAAAAAACTGTCATTTGTCTTGAGATTATTGTCTCAAGGACCTTGCCAGTGAATGACAGCAGTGACACAAGTCTGTAGTTGCTGATTTCTGCTCTGCTCTTCTTTTTGTGAACAGGGACTATATTGGCCTCTTTTCACATAGAAGGCCATTTACACTGTAGTAGGCAGTGATGAAAGATGCGAGTTAGAGGTGCTGCTAGCTGGTCTGCACATCTCAGTAATCTTGGGCTCAACTTGTCTGGGCCCACAGCCTTTTCTTGGTCAAGCGATTTAAGAAGGAAATACGCCCTCCTGCCTTATTGTCACCACTGACAGTTTTGACACAGTTCTTGCAGCTAATGAAGGAGGGTCCCTTACTGGATCAGGAACTTGCATTTTGGCAGTAAAGTGTTCGGCAAAGAGGTCCGCTTTCTCTTGACTACTGATAGAGATGGTCCCATCCTGTCGGTTAAGATGTGGAATGAGTTCATCAGGCAGATATCCTTGTCTGTCCTTGGCCAGGGACCACCAGGTTTTGGAGCCTACTCTATCTGATGCTAGCTTTCTTTTTGTGTCCGCCTCCCATTTAGCGATGGCCCACTTTTGAACGTCACCGATATGCCTACAGGCTTGCCTGGGCAAGTTCCTGTTTTAGGTGGTAGGATGTCTCTTATACCTTCGCTATGCTTTGTACTTAGCAGTATCAGCCTCTCTACAACGAAAGTCAAACCAAGGCTGATCTGTAGGCTTCGTCACATATTGCCGGTGAGGAATGTGTTCTTGTAGATTAAGGATGTGTCCAGTGAAGGCTTTCACTTGGTTGTCAACATCCCCTTGGAGAAGAGCATTCCAATCGGGGGTGGCGAGCTCAGAGCAAAGGGCTGGCCAATTACCTTTTTCCCATAGCTAGGTTGTGCGTATGGACTCCTCACTTCGTTCTGTTGGGATCTTAAGTGTCGTAAAAAACAGCCATGTGGTCAGATGGTTCAACGCAGCCGAGGGGTTGACAAGTGACTATACCTTCTGCCAGATCACTCACCACTGGGTCAAGGGAGGAGCCAGAGATGTGAGTAGGGAAATCAACAGTTTCTCATGTCAAATACTGCAAGGTCATCAAAGTCTCTCTGTATAGGTGTTTGTTAAGGTCACCAACAATTATGATATGTTGACAGTTGATGGGGTCTGCATGTTGTCACTGAGGTCTGTACATTGGACATGTTAGTACAGAGGTACTAGTGTTTATGCATAGCTTGAAGAACATCATTTCAAGATGAGTAAGGATGGCAACATCAATGTGCTGGGCATGTACACTTTTAGAGAAGCACACATCAACACCTTCTTGCCCGTGCCTGTCTCTTCTCATCCATGAGGTCTGTATAACCCTTGTGGTTTAGTGCTTCTTTCTGATTATAATAATAATAATCATCCATGAGGTGTAGCCAGCTATTCTTGCAAAATTTTCTGGAGTCCTGTCGTCCAAAAATGTTTCAACAACAGCTATCATGTCGGGACGTCGAGTGTTCACAAAACTGTATGTGAGCTCGCCAACATTAGTAATGAAACCTCTAATGTTGGCCGACAGGATGCTGATAGACTGGCTCCCCGTGATGTGTTCAGCTTGAGGTGGTGGGTGTGTAAGGCATGTAAGGTGCCTGCCCTTGAGAGAGGTAGGGCACCAAGGCAGCTGCAGGGATGTTGGTCTGTGGTCTTGTATAAGGCACAATACCACCTGCTGGGCTGAGGTAGGAGTAGCTGAGTGGGTGACGTGTGAGTATGTTCACCAATTCAGAGATCCTACTGATTTGTTCCGAGAACAGGTCTCTAAACAGGTGGTCCTGTCCGTCAAGTTCCTTTTTCTTCCGACACTGGTACTCCTGATGTCATTTCTTGTGGCAGTAATTGCACCTGGTATCTAGCAGGCAGTTGTTAGTGGTGTGCCCCTTCCGGTGACAGCGAGAGCACTGCCTAGGTGCCTGGGAGGGTGGACTATTATTTGTTGCACCTCCTGTGTTTTGCTGATTTGTCCGCAGGTTCTGCCGCCGGGACTGTGTTGGTGGAAGGTGAGACGGTTGTAGATGTCTTCCTTCTCCATGTCCACTTCCACGTCCTCTACCACGTCCTCTACCACACCCCTGTACAGTTCTGACAGATGTGTCCTTGCTGTTTGTACTTTGGCGCAGCAGGTGTTCAGGTGCAGTGATAGTTCCCTGATTATTAACTGCACCAATCCCTGGTGGAGAAAATCCTGACTCATTACTTGCCGATGAAGCAATGCTGCCATATGTTGGAATAGTGTCGGCAGGTGTGCTGACAGGTGTAGGATCAGAGATGGTATGTGTACTGTTTAGTGTACTGGTAGGTGCTGAAGCAGAGATGTCAGGTGTTTACCTGGAGAGAGTTCCGGGAGTCAACGCCCCCGCGGCCCGGTCTGTGACCAGGCCTCCTGGTGGATCAGAGCCTGATCAACCAGGCTGTTACTGCTGGCTGCACGCAAACCAACGTACGCGCCACAGCCCGGCTGGTCAGGAACCGACTTTAGGTGCTTGTCCAGTGCCAGCTTGAAGACTGCCAGGGGTCTGTTGGTCATCCCCCTTATGTATGCTGGGAGGCAGTTGAACAGTCTCGGGCCCCTGACACTTATTGTATGGTCTCTTAACGTGCTAGTGACACCCCTGCTTTTCATTGGGGGGATGTTGCATCGTCTGCCAAGTCTTTTGCTTTCGTAGTGAGTGATTTTCGTGTGCAAGTTCGGTACTAGTCCCTCTAGGATTTTCCAGGTGTATATAATCATGTATCTCTCCCGCCTGCGTTCCAGGGAATACAGGTTCAGGAACCTCAAGCGCTCCCAGTAATTGAGGTGTTTTATCTCCGTTATGCGCGCCGTGATCCAAGGCTTTCTTCGTTGTTGGGAAGAGGATCTGTTCCCTCTGGGGTGGTCAGTGGAATTGTGTTAGAATTCCCAAATGCAGTGTCTTGAGCTCTGCCAATCTGTGGGGCCTTAGTGATGACAGTTCCTCCAGTTATTTACTCTTTCTCTCTCTCTCTCTCTCTCTCACGCCAGGCGCTGAGTCTCGACCCCTGCAACAAAAAATAGGCGAGTACACATAAATATATATGTATAGGAGAGAGGAAGAATACTTTTCAGTAAAAGTAGGTCTTAGGCAGGGATGTTTAATGTCACCATGGTTGTTTAACATGTTTATAGATGGGGTTGTAAAAGAAGTAAATGCTAGGGTGTTGGGGAGAGGGGTGGGATTAAATTATGGGGAATTAAATACAAAATGGGAGGTGACACAGTTACTTTTTGCTGATGATACTGTGCTTTTGAAAGTTTCTAAAGAGAAGTTGCAAAGGTTAGTGGACGAGTTTGGGAGGGTGTGTAAAGAAAGATGAAAGTGAACATAGATAAGAGAAAGGTGATGAGGGTATGAAACGAGTTAGGTAAAGAAAAATTGGATGTCATATTGGAGGGAGGGAGAATGGAAGCGAATGTGTTCAGACATTTGGAAATAGATTTGTCAGCAGATAGGTTTATGAAGGACGAGGTTAACCATGGAATTTATAAAGAAAAAGGTGTCTGTGGAGAAAAAAAAAGAAAAAAAAATGTTATCCATGGAGACAAAGGGAATGTAAGAGAGTATAGCGGCATTGACACCCCCTCTCCCCTAGCCCGAAACACCCTCAAGGTAAGTTCCAACAATTCGAATTTACTCCTCACCACTTCCATGCCCAAAAACTCTCACTCATTCTTGAATACTTTCAGTCTGATTCTCATACTATAGCCGTATACACTGATGGTTCTAAATCTTTCAGTGGTGTTGGATATGCAGCTGGTTTTTACCGGAAAGGATAATACAAGGTCATTTCCCAAAGTCGGCCAGTATATTCACATTGTTACATGTCTTTTGTATACAACTTTAGTTATATTGCATTTCTAGTAACACAAAGAAGTCTTTTTTTTTCCTCTCTCTCTGGGTCTTAGGATACACCGATGTCTAAAGCAATGAAGAAGCAGATTCATCTACTCACAATCTTCCATTGAGGTATTCCTTATCGGACTATTTTTCACTAATCTCAGCAGTTTTGCAACCAGTGGCAACAACGATGGTCCGAATTAGAATGAAACAAGTTGTTATATATCAGACCATGATTTGGATTCTAGCCATCTTCCACTACGAATCGGACAAACACTACTCGCTCATGGTTACCACATGGAGAACCAACCGGCAGCGGTCTCCGAGGAGTGTCAGTCCATTCAAAAAACCAGGTTAAGATTTTGTAAACCCCTAGGTTACAGGTACTGTGAGCTCCCCAGTGATGTTTTCAAAAGGAAAAAAAAATAATCCCAACAGTCAACAGTTCATCATATATGTGATGTAATAACATACTATAAATATAAACTTACAGCAGTAACTGTGAACACTTTTCACTTAATATTTGGACTCCAT